AATGCGAATCGATTTAGCAAAAGAAACATCACGTATGATAAGCCAGCAATAAATGCAATAATTAGCGAATTCAGTCCCACAGTTATGTAGAGTATACAGAATCCCGGTAAGATAGAAACTGTGTGTAGTATCCATTCGTGCCTGATTTGTAGTCGAACAAATACTGCTAATCCAACACGGTTAATAAAACTCCAACCAATTAAAATGCTCATATACCACAAAATTTGTAAAGTTGACGGTATGATGCAGGTTTCGTATGTGTTTCTCCATTCATATATTGGCTGATTCTCTTCAAAAATAGAGTCATAGTCAACTTCGGCAGCATCCACTTGTCCATCATAGTAGTAATAGTTGTAAGGCATGATCACTTTGCTATTCCACCTCCTTTCAGCTTTTCTAATATATCCACGCGTACCATGAAGAAACTTTTTCGAACCGGAATCTGCGAACAAAATAAATAAAGCCGGCTCCACGAGCTAAAAAGATTTCATCTTGTGCGGAATACAATGATTTGTATGTATGTATGTATTTGTTTTTATTTTTGTTTTTAGTGTTTTCATTGGTGATGCCAGTTCGAATAAAAATATCACCTAGACATGAGTCAGCTCATTTAAGTCTAGGTTCATACAGGGAAACTTTTCTCGCGGTAACTCGTTACTTGTGGGAGCGGGACTGACGATGAGAGGGGAAGGGCAACGAGTTGCTCGTGCTCGGGTACCACGCTTTTTGTTCTCGTTCGTCTGAGTAATTCTAGCTGACCGTTCACAGCTGACAACAACAAGACTGGGTTCACACAGAGAAACTTGTGTTGCTCATTTTCAGCAATTTCTCTTTTGGTGTTGCCCTTCGCATTTACACTGAGCAATTCTTTTGTAGGTCGGTGTTATGCAGACAAACTTTTGTTTGCCAAATTAAATGGCGNGCTAGACATGGGTCAGCTCATTTAAGTCTAGGTTCAGACAGGGAAACTTTTGTCGTGGTAACTCGTTACTTGTGGGAGAGGGACTGACGATGAAAGGGGAAGGGCAACGAGTTGCTCGTGCTCGGGTACCACGCTTTTTGTTCTCGTTCGTCTGAGTAATTCTAGCTGACCGTTCACAGCTGACAACAACAAGACTGGGTTCACACAGAGAAACTTGTGTTGCTCTTTTTCGGCAATTTTTCTTTTGGTGTTGCCCTTCGCATTTAAACTGAGCAATTCTTTTGTACACAATTGTTGTTGTCAGCTGTGAATTACTCAGACGAACGAGAGCACAAAGCGTGTTGCCACAAGCTAAGAGTTGCCGCGGCAAAAGTTTCTCTGTCTGAACCTAGAGCAATTGTGTACAACAGAATGGCTGTGAGTGAACGCGAAGGGCAACACCAAGAGAAAAATTGCCGAAAATTAGCAACAAAAGTTTCTCTGTGTGAGCCCAGTCTAATGCCTTTTTCTCCTTTTTATTTCAATTTTTTTACGATTCTTCCTTATAACTCCCTCTTTTGAATAAAACTTGAATATATTGCGAAAACTACACTATGTGCTTATGTTAAGCGAATAAAAAATAAATCTGTAATCTTCTTAAAATTTTAGACTGCGTTTAGTACAAGTACTTGGTTTTTATTTTAGTACAAAAGCTACCGTTTCAACTTTAGTGGCAGCCTCTTTCAAACTGTCAATGGCCGCTGTTGAAAAACAAGAAANCAATTGTTGTTGTCAGCTGTGAACGTCCAACTAGAATTACTCAGACGAACGAGAGCACAAAGCGTGTTGCCACAAGTTAAGAGTTGCCGCGCCAAAAGTTTCTCTGTCTGAACCTAGAGCAATTGTGTACAACAGAATGGCTGTGAGCGAACGCGAAGGGCAACACCTATAGAGAAATTGCCGAAAATTAGCAACAAAAGTTTCCCTGTGTGAGCCCAGTCTAATGCCTTTTTCTCCTTTTTATTTTTATTTTTTTTTACGATTCTTCCTTATAATTCCCTCTTTTAAATAAAACTTAAATATATTGCGAAAACTACACTATGTGCTTATGTTAAGCGAATCTGTAATTTTCTTAAAATTATAGACTGCGTTTAGTACAAGTACTTGGTTTTTATTTTAGTACAAAAGCTACCGTTTCAACTTGAGTGGCAGCCTCTTTCAAACTGTCAATGGCCGCTGTTGAAAAACAAGAAATATACAGAGAAACATAAAATTGTGAATTCGCTTCGCAATGACAATTTGTTAAAAATCACACAAATTCAGAAATTTCAGAACAAACAATCGAGTATTGGACCGCTATTGCAATTTATTAATTAAAATAGTGTGGTTTCAAAGGATTCGAAATNAATGACAATTTGTTAAAAATCACACAAATTCAGAAATTTCAGAACAAACAATCGGGTATTGGACTGCTATTGCAATTTATTAATTAAAATAGTGTGGTTTCAAAGGATTCGAAATCGCAAAGAGTAAAGTGAAGCTTTGCTGTGGTACAGAGGCGATCCGTAGGCCTTATTTAAACGTTGGAAACAAATTTGGATCACCTATTAGAGAAATAATACATAGAATCTGTTTTTTACATTTCTGGGCAAGTTTCGGGCAGTATTGTTGATTCATAAATATTTTAAATCGTTGGAAATAATGGTAAGTCCATTGATCAAAGAATTTTTATAAAATATAATTAGTCCTTACCTTAAGGTTATGTTCATGGTTTGTATATTATTTTTTCTACAGGAAATACAACAATTAGAAATACTTTGTAAGCAGCTCTATGAGGCAACCGATTCAGTAATACGTTCTGATGCTGAAAAAGCACTGGTGGCTTTCGTAAGCAGCCAGGATGCTCTACCTAAATGTCAAATGCTTTTAGAGCGTGCAGATTCAAGCTATGCGCAGTTGCTGGCAGCCACAACACTTACAAAATTAATACAAGGACTTAATTTGGAACAGCGAATTGATATAAGGTTAAGCAATGCATACTAAAATTTTAATGCTAGTAATTAACAATGTGTTCTTACCCCGTAGAAGTTACGTGTTGAACTATTTGGCTAATCGACCAAATTTACAACATTTCGTTGTTCAAGCACTTGTTACACTTCTGGCTAAGATTACAAAATATGGATGGTTCGATATGTATAAGAGTGATTTGATATTTCAAAATCTTTTTGAAGATGTAAAGAAGTTCCTACAGGTACCTATTCTCATTATTGACATTCATTTTCCCTTCATAAATTATTATTATTTTTTAAATACAAATTTATCTTTGTAGGGCTCGGTAGAACATTGTACTATTGGCGTTCAGATTTTATCGCAACTCGTTCTGGAAATGAATTCTATTATAGAAGTCGATGTGAATTTATCATTTTCAAAAAATCGAAAGATTGCCACTTCATTCCGTGACCAACAACTTTATGATATTTTTTTATTGTCCTGTTCATTATTAATTACTGCTCGTGACAACAGCAAAAACCTAAATTTCATGGATGAATCCCAGCAGGCGTTCGTATTGAAATTATCATCAATATTTTTAAACACTATAATTATTAAAAACGTCTCTTTTCTAAACAGATTAATATCACACGTACTGCGGCTAACGAAGAATTGCTTAAGTTTCGATTTTATCGGCAGTTCAACAGATGAGTCGTCCGACGACATGAATAGTGTGCAAATACCCACATCCTGGCGACCGGCCTTTTTGGATTCAAACACTTTAAAATTATTTTTTGATCTTTACCAGATTCTCCCAAATGGGTTGGCCAGTTATTCGCTTTCTTGTCTTGTGCAAGTAAGTTTATAAATATAGTTCAAATGTAAAAATTCGTTGGATATTTATGATTACAATTGACACAATATTCTCTAGATGACTTCCGTGCGCCGTTCTCTCTTTAATAATTCAGAGCGAACTAAGTTTCTTACTCATTTGGTGGAAGGTGTAAAAAATATACTCGTGAATCTGCATGTAAGCTTAATAGGCTTGATGAGTTATGCATATATTAAGACAAATATATAAAAATATTTACAGGGACTTAGCGATCCGGATAATTATCATGAATTTTGCCGTCTTTTGGCTCGCCTTAAATCGAATTATCAATTGGGTGAACTTATAGCAGTTCCATGTTATCCGGAAGCAATACAGCTAATTGCAAAGTTTACCGTTCAGTCACTACAGGTCGGCATATATTTATATTCGGCCTTATCAGGAACTCCATGTGAACAATTTTTCCCAAAACTTATAAAAGTAAAACAAAAACAATGTTTCCCTATTTGTTTTTGTTTTGCTTGTAAAATCATATGAACAATTTATTCACATGGAATTGGCGATAGGGCTGATTATTATTTGGTTGTAAGTATTAATATAATTCAAAACTTTCTTAGATGTGGCAATTTGCCCCAAATAGTGTGCACTATTTGCTCACGCTATGGCAACGAATGGTCGCCTCTGTGCCGTATGTTAAATCCCCTGAACCGCATTTATTGGGAACATACACTCCTGAGGTGACTAAAGCTTATATTGAGTCACGTCTTGATGCAGTTCCAGTTATTGTACGTGACAATATGGAAGATCCCTTGGATGATTTGTGTATGGTTCAACAACAATTGGAACAATTGTCTGTGATCGAACGTTGTGAATATGATAAAACATGTACATTACTTGTGCAACATTTTGATCAAAAGGCCCGAGAGTACGAAAACTTGTTGCAAACGCCTAATGCTAATCCTATGGACATAACGGTGCATGAACTGCAACTCACTTGGTTAGTTTATATAATTGGATCAGCAATCGTTGGGCGACTAACCGTAAACTCGAACGACGATCATGACACGATGGATGCCGAATTAGTTATCAGGGTGTGTAGGGTGTAAATCAAACGTTTTTCAAAGATTACATTTTTTATTAATTTTAGGTACTACAATTAATGAGCTTAACGGATGCACGTCTACCACAAGCTGGCTGCGAGAAACTTGAATTAGCCATACTAAGTTTTTTGGAACAAGTACGCAAAATGCATATTAGTGAACAAACTCAAAAGGCAAATGTTTATAAACGCCTGAGCGAAGTGTTTGGCTTAAATGACGAACAAATGCTTTTGAGTTTTATTAATCGTAAAATGTAAGTAGACTTTTGGTTTTTTTATGTTTTATATTCCATTCAATAGTTTATCTCAAAATATTCACATATCCTTTAAATGTTGTTGGATACGTCTTCGATGAACGTACCATTTTTAGACAAGGTAAAATAATAGGCGTTTAATTGTATGATCGAAACAATAGAAATCCAATTTTAAAAGTTAAATTTTCCTTTTTATTATAAAGATATTTGCTTTATTCCCATAATGGGTTTGTATTTAGGAGAAGTACAATCACTGTTTAGAGCGGGCCGAAGCGAAATTATTTCCATAAGCATTTTGGAGCTGAAAGCAATGCATTTTTGGATTTTGAGCTTTCTATTTAATTTTTGAGGTTCATGACGCCGCACAGTGTTTCGACTATCAGGAGGCAGGTAGAAAAAAGTCATGGTGATAGTAAATGCTCTGGCACATACAGTTTACGTGCTGCTTTGTCGTTGGTTTTGTCGGGAGGTGTCTCCCGCATGCCGGACACTCATTTGGCACATCTGCATCTAATCTGCTCAGGTATGAGTTCAACCTGCTGCAGTAGCCAGAGCGAAGTTGGGCAGACGAAGCTACGTCGATGGGCTGACGGGTCCAGAGGTTGCCTCGTCATGTAGGTGGTGTTCTAGCGACATCTGAAGACATCCGGTTGCTGTCCGAGGTGCTGTGTTCCTTCTACCTTGTTGAATATGCTTGGTTAAACATTAAAGGTGCGTACACACAGAAAGCCGAGCGGCGCCGAGCGAGGCAAGGCGGAAGTGAAGATGCTGGTGTTCACAAAGAACGGGGCGCAGCGGGAGAAATTTAACATCAAAAAATGCTTTGCTTTCGCTGCAAAATTCTTCTAAAAAAGCTTACTGTATGAACACTTTCATATAACTAAATTAATTGAAACGCTCGGAACGCAGCATTTACATCAGGCGATTTTGTAAGTGATTCAACATGAAAAGTTGGAAGCGCTTTTATCGCTTTCTAGAGAATTTAAACACAATTTACATAGATCTTGTTGAACGCGATGTTGAATCACTTAGAAAATCGTCTCATGCAAATGCTGCTAAGGGTGCGTTCACGCAGAAAGCCGAGCGGCCCGAGCTAAGCAAGGCGGAAGAAAGCAAAAAGATACCACAAAACTTGCCGCTAATGAAAATCGCGAAAATATTTGCCCAATTTTATTCAAAAGATTTTTGTAATATTCGTTTTTGTTTGAATATTTTGATATCTTGTTTGCAGCAGCACCAAGAAGTTGAAAACTTAAATTGGAAATTCAAAATAAAAACCCGCTTTGCTTTCAGCTCCAAAACGCTTCTGAAAAAGAGGGCAAAAGCTATAGCAATTTGAAAATATTGTATATGTAAAATATATTCCTTATTCTGACTTTCTTCTCAGTCCTAATGACTATCGGGTTATCGGATGAAATGCATATTCGCGAAGCATTTTAACAATCCCGGGATTTCGAGATACAAAAATTCTAATCCCGGGATCGAGGGATTTTTATTGAGTCCGACTTTATCAAAACTTTTGTATTTAACAGTAGGTTCGCCTTTTTTAAACCACACAGATTCATTGTCACCGTTTTGGGTCTTACAGGGATCGTAATGCACCTTAGTAAAAGAGTCTGTAATTTAATGTCTAAATATTTTTATAGTTTTCTTAAATATCCGTATTAATTGTAAACACCCCTTACTAATATCTTCAGAAATTCAGTTTCCACAAAACGGCAACAAAATAAAATGAAGAACAACCTTTCCACACTGTAAAATCTCGTTGTATTTTCAATTGCTACCAGATTTTTCGTTATTACACAGTTATTGCGGGGACATGGAAAAGTGTCCGGGATGCCAGGGTTCTGGATCCCGGGATTGATCAGTCTATGATTTACAATCTTACATACATACATACGTAAAATTTCATATTTAAGATTCGTACTATGACAATCGTGTGCTCGTCTTGTACCCGTACGAGAACGTAGTTCATTATTTTTTTACTTACTCCACTACACCCTACATACAATACCTTCATTTCAGCATAACTAACCTTAAGTTTTGGGGCCATTCTGAACAAATCATCACAAAAACACTAATGTTACTTTCGGATCTGTCAGTGCATTTCAATTCTGTAAGAAAACTAGCGAAATTGGAGGAGGTACAATTCATGTTAACCCATCATACGGTAAGTACGCATGCATGTAACATGCCCTAAGCCGAATATTAATTTTCATCTTTGTTAGAGTGAACATTTCCCATTTTTGGGCACCAATTCATCGTTATCGGAGATGCGTTGTCGCACAATGTTCTATACTTCACTTGGACGTTTGCTAATGTTCGATTTGGGGGAAGATGAGGAACGTTTCTACAACTTCTTAACACCGCTCACAAGTAATTAAACTTATATTTTTTTTATTGAACAAATAAACTTTTGTCATGTATGAAGAAACTCCTCTGAGAATATTCGTTGAATTTTAACAAAAAAAAAAAATGCGTGCCATCTATAATTTCAGATCAATTTGAATCACTGGGCACTGTTTTAATGGATGCTAATAGTTTTCCTAACGAGGAAGCGAAGAAGGCAATAATTGGTTTGGCAAGAGACTTGCGTGGCTTAGCTCAGCCCTTGAATGCTCGCATACCATATACAATGTTGTTTGAATGGTTGTAAGTTGCTTTAAAAAGCTTAGCAACACGTTATTGCTTTCCTTGGGCAAATCCTTATTTATTTACGATTTTTTAATATTTTCTTTTAAGATACTACGCTGATTACTTGCCCATACTCATACGTGCCGTGGAGTTGTGGGCACATGATCCTGCGGTCACGACCCCAGTACTAAAATTATTCGCTGAACTTGTTCATTGCCGCACTCAACGTCTACAAGGCAATGTATCTAGCCCGATGGGGATTCTTTTATTTCGAGAAGCGTCCAAATTGATCTGCATTTACGGCAATCGTATATTGCTTTTAGATGTGCCGCGCGATCAGCAGTATCCCATGCGTCTAAAAGGCATTTCAATTTGCTTTTTAATTCTTAAAAATGCGCTGGGAGGGAATTATGTTAATTTTGGTGTGTTTAAGTTATATGGTGATGACACGCTTGATAATGTATTGAATATTGCCGCTAAGCTCATAATGTCAATACAGCAAAATGACTTATTGGTGGGTATATCTTACTTTAAATGGGAACAAATTTGTATGTCAAAATCAATTATTAATATAATTAAAGGAATATCCAAAATTGTCCTCGGCCTATTATGGTTTGCTAAATTGTTTATCACAGGATCATATAACCTTCCTAGCTAGTTTGGAACCGCGAGCATTTGTATATATATTGGAGAGTCTTTCTAAGGGTCTTACTGCTTTAGGTAAAAAAAAGTTTTCCATACTTATACTTATCTACATATGTATTATCACTTAACCTATTTATGATATTTCGTAATTTCATATATAGACTCGACGATTTATATCAGCTGCTGTTCAATCTTGGATAGTATCGTATCGTATATATTTAAACAATTACAATTAAAAGGTATGAACTTGCTTTTAACTTGGAATCAAACAAATATTATTACAAATCAGCTCAAAAATAAAGTATATTTAAAAATTTCAGTTTCGACATTCCCGAACAAGAAACTGCGTAATATAACGCCTGAAAACGCACAATTTCTTAAGGTAATCGTGTATTTTTTATTTAATAAATATATATACTTTTTTAATTTATTTAAAATTTTGTATTAGGTGGTGGAAATGAACTCAGATTTACTACAAAGCATGATGTCTACTTTGTTGAATAACGTTATGGCAGAAGATTGTAGAAATCAGTGGTCGATGTCACGACCACTTTTAGTTCTTATACTTCTCTATGAAGACTATTTTAGGTAAGTAAATCAATCACTTAGATAATAAAGTAATACATTTTCCATGCGACAATTGTTATATCTTTTTATCTTTATAGATCGTTAAAAGATAATATAATCCGTGCACAGCCATTGGACAAACAGCAAACAATGGCGCAATGGTTTGAGGATCTCATGGTTGGTATAGAACGCAACGTATCAAGTAAAAATAAAGAGAAGTGCGTAAACTTGTTCAAAACAAATTCGAACTCAATAAAAACCTTCTTGTCTTATTTTAGATTCACGCAAAACCTTTCATCCTTCCGCCGTGATGTTGTTAATTTACCAAAATCATCAAGCTATAACACAGGTAAGTTCAAAAATTCTTAATATTATATGACTAGTTTAAATTGATACCCTAACCGACAGAAAAATCTGGGAATTTAGGGCATTTGCATATTTGTGGTGCAGCCATAATTTTGTTATCATTCCAAATTAAAATTCTGAGCCGAGTATTTCAATAGAGGTTTGCACAATATGCACACCATCTTCAAAAGGGGCACAACTTAAAAAAAAATCATAAATCAATCCGTATTAATGCAAGTATTTTTTATTCATGATTAAATTTTCTAACTAGGAAACTAAAACTATACTTTTCGGATCTGTATTTTGAACATGGTCTGGTTTCCGCCTTATCATAGACGATGCAAAAATCAACATCTTCGTTTACTAATCGATAAGAAAAAACTTATGAAAGATAAACAATTGCAATAAAATTAAATTAAAGTCAACGAAAACGACAAAAAGTCTTCGTTTTTGTACCATAACGCCCTTCAAAAATATTCAAGGAATAATATTACGGCGACGATATCTTTGCAATTGCAACCAGATATCGAAGTATTTGAAGCAAAATGCCCGAGTGTACAGAAGTGTAGTTGTCATGTAATTGTGGATCATAATAATGACTCGTGAAATGTGCAGAAACCCTTTTCAGATTTTTAGGTTGCAAACAGAGTAGAAGTAAAGCCGAAGATTTACCGGACGCTGAAGGAAGCCCCCGACAGACGGTTCTATGTACAGGAATGACTCGGGTTATTCTCGATCAAGGGCTGTTGTTTCGGCGACCTAACCTCGTTTAGGTCGGTGAAATATCTCAAGTGTTCTTTGTCCATAGGGCTATATCTGCTACGTACTCTTCTGTCAGGGCTGTCATCGAGTCAAACCCTGGGCCAGAAACTTACACCTGCTGCTTCTGCTAGAGACGACTACACCACAAGTCCGCCTCAGTCAAGTGTAGTGATTACGGACATATCGGCAGTGGACCACATCATATGGGGCCCCTGCTGCTCAAACAGAGCTCCCTCCACGGCGCACCCAAGTCCTCCTGAGCGGTTCAACACAAACACCACAGTACCACAGTACCACACCACGGACGTTCCCACGACAGTCGGGTCTACGCAACCGGAACGATCCAGATTTATATTTGGCCAAGGACTGTCACTGCAGCAACACTCCCCAAAACTCTTTGGGGAGCTTGTATGCTGCTACACCAACCCCACCGCGTACTCAACCGCACCACCTACTCGCCGCCGCCAACAACTCTTGGTTCCTCCAACAATCTGCACGGTGTGTCAGACTAGGTTATTCCGTAATGTGACATCAGTCAAGTGCAACACCTGCCTTGGCTGGTGCCACCTTTAGGGCATGCTCAGGTCTGCGAGATCGGACAAGTAAGTTCGAGGGACCGTGTTGCGCTACTAAGTCGCAAGTTCCAACCGCGACACACATCACTCACCCCCCACTTAACAATAAGTCTCTCTAGGCCCACGAAGCTCCTACAATTCAACTGCAACGGACTACAGAGTAAGATCGAGGAGATAACCGTCTTTATGGGCCGGCATGGAATATTAATAGCTGCGGTCCAAGAGACGTAGTCCCACATCAATTCTACATTGTTGACATCGACCGCAGGGATGTAATGCTAGAATGTAAGGGTGTTGTTATCCGGCCAGGCGATGTTTATCTCGAAATAATTAACGTTTATAAACCCCCAGTGATTAGCTTTCCGGCCGGATATCACTCTGAAATAGGTGCGCTCCTCACAGATGTGAAAACCGTTTGGTAGTTGACGACTTTAACGCGCACCATGATCTTTGGCATTCAAGCCTGCCAAATATTCGTAGGGGGACACGCTTGGCTGAGCAGATAGACGATTCAACATTCGTTGTTCCAGCAGGTTGTTAACGGACTCCCGTCCGAACTTTCCTGCTGAAGGGGCTGTTCTATCCGATAAGCGTGACAACCTTCGTCAGGCCAATCCCAGAAATCCCCGCATTAGAGATCTCATTACGGAGATTCGGAAGCTTGTGAACGTACATAAGCGGAAGAGTATCTGAAGACTTGCAACTTCAGCACTGGTGTGAGCAAGCTTTGGTCAACCATGAGGCCACTTTCCAATCCGACAAAGCGCGACGACAGAGTCGAAATCTCTTTCGGGACCGCGACTCGTCGGACAATTTACGCTGCATCCTCCGGCGAACCAAGCCAAACGTAGAGTGACTAGAAGGCTGCACAAACTGTTAACAACAAGTGCGCCTCTTGCTTTCACTTTCGTTGAAGTTCAAGTAGCCATCGGGAAGGGGAAAGCCCCCAAAGCCAAAGCACCCGTCGGAATAAGCATGCTGATGCTGAAAAATTTGGGTCCCACGGGAGTAGACTATTTAGCCAAGGTGCTCAACCTGAAAATGGCCACTCTCATCATCCCAGACATCTGTAAGATAGGGAGAGTGGTTCCACTGCCAAACCGGGGAAAGCAGCCATCAAAGGAGTCTTATCGCCCGATAACCCTCCTTTCCCTGGTAGCGAAGACACAAGAGGTCTTGCTACTCCCGTATTTTACGAACCATTCGACCCCAGCGAAGCATAAACACTCAGATAACATGTGTTATAAACCGCAACCGCCCCTGTGAGAGAACTGTTCTAGTAGCGTTGGATTTGTCAAAGGCGTTTGATACTGTCAGTCACTCCACGCTACCAGAATACATAGAGGCCTCCTCTCTCCCACAGAAAAATAAAACAGGGGGTTCCACAGGGTGATGTCCTTTGCCCATTACTGTTCAACTTTTATATTTCTAAGCTCTGTTAATCACCAGAGGTGCTCTCGATTACCTCTTACGCTGACACTTTGCTCGATTATGGCGTCTGGGAATGGAATTGATGACTTGTGCTCGAAAGCTCACGGTTACCACTCTGAGCTCCCCTATCAAATCCTCCTGTTCACCACCTCGACAAAGGAGGTCAGACTGTAGCTGGGTATTCACGTTGCTGACATACCCATTGTGACGGTGAATAACCCGGAAATCCTCGGAGTAACACTCGACAGTCTGGTCTACTTCTCCGCGCACACAGCCGTAATAGTCACAAAAGTACAGTACCTGGGTCAAAGACACATACAAGACGATTGGCCGGCCGGTTCTAAACTACGCATCGTCAGTGTGGTCGCCGGGGACCAGTAGGACATAGTGGATGAAGCTTCAGACGATACATAACACAGCACTCCGGACAGCGACCGGATGTCTTCTGATGTCGCCACAACACAACATCATGACGAGGCGCAAATGCTCCCCATAAAGAAAAACCCCGGTTATACTACAATTGCTAATATAAAAGATGTACCCCAGTAAAAGAATTATACGTGCAATTTGCTTTTTCACATTCTCGGTCTATATAAGAAGGGTAAAACGTTTTGCTGTTTACAATTATAATAGTCTTTAGTTTATAGAGATAGATAATATAATGAGGTATGCACTGCGACCTAATGATCCATTGTGCCCTCCGCTCTTCACATTACTTCCTCCAAGCCTAGATCCGTCAGAAAGTTCCTTAGGGTTTTCGGGGATAGTGAGTGAATGTGCTTACTCTATGGTCACGTTGAGCCTACTCGTCTCTCACGTCATCTGCTGATTGCATCACACTCGATGAGGATGTGGAGTGGTATTTCACTGGAAGAGTCGCAAAACCGGCAAAGGTTATTTGACCATATCCCCAGCTTAGTTTATAAGTATTTTCATAAGTTAAGTTTTCAAGTATTCAATTACAATTTTAACTACCGTTTTCGCAAACAATAGTATAATATTTAAAAGTAAATAATTATACTTATGTGCAAAACTAATTATATAGCTTCCACCTGTTACACCAATGACTGTGTGGTAAAGCCTTAAACATATAGAAACTATTTTCACAATAAAATATTTATTATTTTGCCATGCATTGAACTATCTGAAGAAGAGCCCGGAAATGTAACAAGAATGAATTTTTGTGGGACAAAAGGTATCTAAATAACTGCTGAAGTAATCAGACAGCAGAATATAATAAGAAGTTCCTTTAAAAGTCCCGACGACTATGGAAATCATAAGCTCGGCGGCCCTACACAAACCCCAAAAGAGTTGCCCAAACGGCATATCCAAAAGTTAGGTACTAGATTTTTGGCAATATTTTTAGAGGAAGATGTTGCTCATTTTCTCCATACAAAAAATAATTGTCGAACATACTTTGTAAGGAAGAACCTGCGTGAAAAAATTGCCGGAAACACGATTTTCTGGCAACTTCAAACTTGCACTTTGTTATACTAAAGAGCGTGTCAGACGTGGCAATATATTTCGTAGGCAAAATATTTCGAAAAGGCTGTCAAATTGAGAAATTTCAGAAAGCAGTTGTATGAGCAGTCACACCTTGCATTTATAGTGTCTTTCGAAAGAGGGGTTTTTTTATATTTCCGAAAGGCGAATTGCAGGAAAAATGTCTGAAATCGCTTTTTGGCTGTTCACACGGCGAATGAGTTTCTGGCAATCTTTCTCGATACAAAAATGCAACCATGGGTGGTGGGGTTATCGTTTGTGTGCTATTTCTCTCGTAAAAGCGCGAACGAAAACACGAAAAATGAATACTCGACGTAAACATTGGCAGAATATCTATGGGCCTCCGCACACTAGCCTGCTCAGTCGGACTGAGCAGTCCACAACTCGAACGCACACTGGACCGGGTAGTTGGCCGAAAACAGGTTTCAGTTTTGTATAAATATAGTTTTTTCATCTTTCCGAAAACTACCGCTACATGGTAGAACGTTCAGTTAGACCAAATGAGATAAACTTATATAGTTATATGTGGGCGGTATCACGCCCACTTTCCAAAATTCCATAATAATGTTACTTCTTTTCAAGGGATTGTTAGTATAAATTTTGAGTAAATTAGCGTCCTTTAATTTTGAAATATCAAAGTTTCTGGCATTTCTGAAATTTACCGTTATATGTAAAGTGGGCGTCCGATTTCAATAATTTTCAACGTTTTGCTTTTATGTGGCAAGCACAATAAACATACCGAGTTTTGGTACATATGGCTCGAACGGTTACCGAGACTCATATATGTGATCATAAGTGGGCGGTGCCACGCCTATTTCTGATTTATCGACGATTTCGTATTTCTCTAAATTACCGTTATATGGGATGAGGGCGTGGTATTTGTCTGCCATTTTGTATGTTGTATCAAGGCCAACAACTGTGCCAAGTTTGGGAGAAATCGGTGAAGCGGTTAACAAGATATACACACGTAATCATAAGTGGTCGTGGCTAAGCCCATTTAAGAAAAAAAAAATATACTAATCTTTTTTCTCGCCTAGAAATCATTGTAAATATCAATTAGGAGGTAGGCTTCGTTATTGTCCGAGTTTGCCCACTTTCAATACCATCCGTCCTACGCTGAAAAGAAGTACACATACCAAGTTTCGTTAAGATATCTAAATTTTTACTCGAGTTATCGTGTGCACAGACGGACGAACGGACAGGCTTAATCGATTTTTCTTTTCACTCTGATCATTTATGTATGTATGTCTATATCTATCTCGATTCGTTTTGCCTGTTACAAACAGCCGTTATGTGAACAAAGTTATAATCACCTCATTGCAAGAGTCGTATCGAATGTAAGTCGTTTTTCGAGAGTCGAATCGTGTCGAAAATTTCACGTCATTGCCTAAAATTTCCACTCGACTAGTGTATTAAAATGGAAAAACTTGGCAGCACTGCGAAGTTTTCGACGATTTTCGTCGTTTACTTATTTCAGCACGACAGTAGGCAATGCCAATGTTGTCGGGTCGTACAATTTAGCCTAATTTACGTCTTGCGCAATGAGGCTGATTATCCTTGGGCATAAGTACGCTCGGGTATAAAAACCGTATATGGTCGTACATAAAGAAGCGCTGAAGGTTAAGTGACATTTTAACCAGATTTGGTTTTTTTCTTTTGTTTATTTAATGTTTACAATTTTTTATAAAAGCCTAGCACATTACATAACCAGCACCACAAAATCCACGTTTCAAACTTCGTACAAAAATAAAAAAAACTTTAACAATTACACCCAAAACTTTTAGACTTTTTATCCAGGTTTTTTAGAAAAATTCTAGGTATGCAGTTTAGTGGCCCATCAATTTAAGTAGGTAAAAGTGAAAGGAAATCGCGTTGATTTTAAATATTTTTTTTTTTGGCTGGCGGTGAGGGAGTTGAACCTCTACTTGGCTTTTTTCTATTTTTTTTTAATAAATAGATAGTCTTCAATACGGACCACACTAAAAGCTCCTTTTCATATAAAAATTTGTACGTGTCCCACCCGTTACAGAGGAATTTCGGATTTTTTTTATAATAAAGCAATTTTTGTGTAGTATTCTTGGTTCTTTTTACAACGCTTTTATCAATTTGCAATGTTGTTTGTCCAGACATCTTAGCTACAAAAAGTCTAGACATCAACCTCGTCGGTAGATATCATATTAAAGAACATACAATTAGACACTAGAGGTAGATGTCGCCTGCGCCTAAAAATATGCACTACATACTCTACAGCGGAAATGGACGACACGCCAAAAAATTTCGAAGGGCTAGACAGAGACGAACACATGTTTGCATTCTAAAAAATCAACGGTAATTTTTAGCCACTTGAAACTGGCACATTATCAGACTAAAATTGAATGGGCTATAAATAGGGTGATCCACTCGGTTTTTCCAAACCGGTTTCTACTGTTTTTTTTTGGATATCTATAGGCGTTTTTTTTTCAAATCTTTATTTTTCGAATATCATATACCCCAGAATTTTCATCGATAAAACCGTTTTTTTCTTTTCATACAAATCTTGATCTCTCGATAAAAGTTTTGAGTTGTTGAAGCATCGTGTGATATGCAGGACAAGTTAATCAATATTTTATTTATTGTTTATTTCAGTTAATGTGTTCAGTTCAGTTAGCGATATCAATGATTTTTTGCTCAACGAGCTTGAGAAAGAATACATGAGGGATGACGACTAAAACTACTCCAGCGCTCGTGGGCGGTTAAATGTTTAATCACATGTGTATTGACGACTGTAAGAATTAAAAACATATTTTTATTTCTTTATCAGTATATTTTTTATACATACATATGTTGTTTTTGCATTGTTATACATATTAGGGGTATTCTCTAAGTCTCGCAAAACCCTTTATTATCACACGATATATATACATATGTATGTATGTATGTATTTAGAAAAAATCTGGGAAAACTGATCATGTTATTGATGTACAAAAATATAGATATATATACATATGTATGTATCGTTACGTTAATATAGAAAGATCCTATCTAGCATTTTTGTTTCTTTGTGGAGTTGTTTTAAAGTCCATAAAAATTAGAGTTCTTTAGTCGGCAATATCTTTAAAAAATCGTTTTTAAATAAATACTGAAACTAATTTATCCGGGTACTCGTTTTTAAATTCTGTCAGGCTCTTGGTGAGTAGTCTACCGACTTTTGTGCAACTTTGAATTTCGAAAAATGAAAAGGAGTTATTGCCTTTCTATAATGTACATACGTATGCAAATATGTATATTAAGGTAACCATATATAAGTATGACTTTGGACTTTTTGATTTAAAAAATGGCCCTTGGAGGTTATAGATGGTATTTGGCTTAAAACTTTTATACTCCAGAAAATCGAAAGATCGTGCAAGCATTAAAATATCGCGCCCCAAAGAAAGATACTACATAGATGTAGAAATATTTATATGTATACAGGGTGCCCTAGATCACCCCATCTAAAATGGAGAGACATTTTTTTATTGAAAAATTCAAAAATATGGCCTACCAAATCGGGGATGCTCTATCTTTTGGTGGTATTAACGAGTGAAAATGTTTTTTTTTTTTTGGAAATCAAAAAAATATGAATTATGAAGTCGGGGATGCTCTATCCTCGGGTTGTATTATCGACTTCCGGTTTTGACAGGAAGTGGGTTAAACAGACCGGAAGTCCATCCCAGAAAAAAGTTCGCGACAAAAGTAATGTATGTCCTTTAAAAAAAATGGACTTCCGGTTGGTTTAACCAACTTCCAGTCCAAACCGGCAGTCGGTAATATGTACAGCCAAAGGAGAGACCATCCCCGACTTGGTAGTTCATATTTTTTTTCGTTTTCCAATAAAAAACGTTTTCACTTATTTAAGAAGTTCTGGACAAGTCCAGAAAACCGTAAGTCGGTAATTGCACCAAAAGATAGAGTATCTCCAATTTGGTAGGTCATATTTTTTGCGTTATTCAATAAAAACATTTTCCTCCATTTTAGAGGAGGTGGCTCTGTATATTTTTCAAACAAGAGCCAATTTGAAAAAGTACTCAAAATCTGCGATCCGCACAAAAACAGTAGGGCTGTTCAGAATGTTGTGCAAATGGTCTTGGATTTGCAGTTGGAATTGCATTCGCAGATTTTATGCCTGCTGCCATGCGAAAATCGCATCACCAGCAAAGTTAGAAGCAACAACGTTTTATCTAACACGGCCTTTACTGAATCCATCGTAAGTTCGTTTTTCATGAAATTTACGAAACTGCTATCAATGAATACGAATAGGTACGAACGTAAATTCGAAATTCGTTAGAGTGGCATTATTGAAACAGGTTGTAATGAATTTTCGTGCAGATTTTGTACGATAAATTTCTGACGTCTGTACAGAGTTTTGTTAAATCTTCGAAATATTGCATAAGAGCAGCAATAAGGATGATGATACAAATTTATAAGAGTACTGAATTTGATATGTAGGACTGCTGGGCGTCAGTTAATAAATGCATGTTTGTCTAGTATAGACAAAAAATAATTTATGGAATTGAAATTAAAAAACAACAAATTATACTTTTTATTATTTAATAGGAAAATGTTTGTGCCTCTAAGATTTTCTACTAAAGTTAGCTTGGCGCAGGTCAGCTATTGTCGTAGCTCCAACGTAACCACACCCTCAGAGTAGAACTCAACACCAGGGTTTTCAGGTCTCGGTCGGTTTTTATGTTTTAAGCGCTTTAATCACATTCAAGCTGAAAACCTCAAAAGCTCTGAACATTTGAAAAGCTTGGTATGAAGTTTATCTCCGCATAGCTCTAAATAGAAAAATATCGCTTACAATGTTTAATTATTGCACATATTACAATCATACACACTTATCTGCAATTCATTATTATTTTTAAACACTTGCTAGTTATTAGGCAAAATTACAGATATTAAATGTACATTAATTAACACGCACCCAAATTCTTAAAAATTCATCTTGTCTTTGTAAAACAAAATCGTGGCGTTAGGCATCTATTAAAAATTATTTTGCGCTCATTTACATTTCATCATCATTAATGCTAAAGGCCCTAAATGACAATATGGACCTTTTACAGAAGAAGCAAAAAACTTTAAAATTTTTATAGCAAATATAGCTTTTCTAAATATGATCATAAATCTCGTATTGTTTAAGATTTTTGAAAAACGCTGTATGTGAGAGTCAGCTAACGGAACATTAAAACAAAAAAAAAACGTATTTTCGGAAAAGTCCCATTTAGGGCCTTTTGCATTGATGGTGATGATTTGCGTAATGAAATATTCATGTGTGTGAAAATCTACATTAAATTTATTTCTATGTTATTTGTTTATTTTTAGATAATGCGTACCAAGTATATTCGGAGACAAATTATTCGGTTTCAGTTTAAGAATTATTCGGAGGAAGCATTAATGGTCCCGCACTTACTGGTTAAGTTTGAATGGCTGAGCTATCGATTTGCCTATGGTGATTACAAATTAAAATTTAATAAGAAAAAATATCAAGAAAAAATCAAGAAATATATATTTAAATTTATACATTACATTGCTGCATTTGCAAATGTGGTACCGTACCGACGTTAATAAAGAAAGGGCATCGATAGCGATATTGATACTATGTAAAAGGCTGGTCGCGCTGACTTGATTTTATTTTGCTAACATAAAGGTTTGTCTTATGTTATGCGTAACATGATTATTTTGTACGTGAACAAAGTAAAATTTTAATAAACGTAATTGATGTAAATAGTGATTTTATGTTTGCGTTTTTTTTTGTAGTGAAGTGCCTAAATCGAGTTCGGAGATGTTTGCGTTAAATATTTAACACCAAGTCATAAAATCTGTATCGTTCGTCCGATTTTAAAAAATGGAGTGTCAAATGAAAGGGCTTTTTACCTGTAGATGTGCAATATGTACGTTTTTTAAAATGTTGCTATATACAGGAAAATCAAATTCAAATTATTTACATAATAATTTAAATGAATTATGTATTCCAATATGGGTATCAAAAGAAATGGTTTTTAATAAACTGTATTTTTTAGCTACAAATAGGAGGGTTGCCACCTGTTGGAATAGTTGAATTTAATTAAACTAGTGTTCGCCCAGCGGTTGAAATTCAACCGCTAAAATTAAGGATAGTTTATGTGAGTTCAGTTGAGCTGAAATAAAATTTGTTGGAATGGGTTAAGTGGAGGGGAGTTTAGCTTAGTACTTAGCATAACATAACATAGAATAGCATTAGATTCAATAACATAACATATGTAGCATAACACATCACAATATAACATCGCACATTCTTCAGTTGTATTTCCTTTTTATCCCTATCACTTTCTTCCTCTCTATCTTTGTCTCTATCGCTTTTAATGTTTATGTTTAT